CCATTAGGATGAGTGGGCATTAAACAAAATAAGTAAATAATACATTTTAGAAGGTGATAAATTACATAGAGAAAAGCCAATAAAAGAGAATTGCAAATATGTGGCAGGGAAAGGCAAATGGTGGCAAACAGATTCCTAGAGTTTGAAGGCTACTGCTAACTCTACCTGAAATATAGGGGAAGCTGCAGAGAGATGTTGTCTTGAACATTGTTATTCACCAAGTCTTTACCTTAAGTCCTAGAGGTGTACCTCAAATGTAACAATCACACTAAATTCATCTTATTTTCTCCCAAACCTGTACTCTTTGCTCTCGCAACTCCTCTTCCTTGTGTTTTATTTCTGGTAATGGAATATGGCCAGTAGATTCTTCTCCACCTTCACTGTCTCCCAGAGTAATGCAGTAACTTTCTCACCTCTCTTTGTTCTGTCCTCCATTCTACTTGCATTGGCTAGAGATGTCAGCTTCATAACATGTATGCAGAACTCTCCATGAATTGACTTCTTCACCTTTTCAAGACTTTTCTTTGCCCTTTCCTCAAGCAAGTCTTAGTTCCCAGCAAATTATTTAGTCTCCAATGTGCCATTTCATTCTTTCCTGCTCTTGCACATTTTGTTCTGAGATTGAAATCAGTTGCTCTTTGTCTTTGAAATGTCCAGTTTCCCTTCAAATTCCCCCTCACATCATGGTCTTTATAAAAAGTTAGCTCAGCTCCCTCTTCTTCATTAAGGTAAATTGATCCCTCTTTCCTTTGTGTTACTAATGTTATTACAGCACTTATGGATCACTTATCAGTGAGTCCCTTAAGGGCAGAAACTGCCTTACTCACCTTCGTATTCCCAGGACCTAGCTGGTAATTGGAACATAGTCAGGGCTTAATTCTTGGTGACTTTGACTTTGTGTATATCACATTTTGATTGAGGGGCATCCAGTGGAGAAATGTTTAGTCAGAAGAGAGTTGTGGTAGCAACTGTTAGTGGTTTAAAAGTAATGGTTGAAGCTTCTAATGCACAGATGGTAAAGTAAGAAAAATGCTGAGGTAGGACACTTCATTGAGGGAATTGAGAGAGGAAAAGAAGCCAGAAAAAAAGAGATTAGGAAGAAGATGCAAGTAGCAGAGGTGCCTGGCAGATAATAGGTGCCCAGTAACCTCTATTTTAGATTTCTAGAAAGGGACCTTTTTAAACAATTGCCACATTTCACTTTTTGTTGTTAGTAATTTTTCCTTATTACAAAATCCCCATATATTCTTGTAGAAAAATGAAAATACAGATTAAAAAAAACTGAAGAATCAAGTGTAATCAAGTTATTCATACCTTTCAGACTTTATTCTGTGTATATATATCTGTACTGCTAACCTAGAATGCATCATTCGATTTGTAACTTTCTTTTTACACAAAGCTCGGGAAACATTTTAAAGTGAATATTCCTCTCTATTATTTTTCGTGGCATCCCGCTGTAGGGCATACTCGTCTTTCTATACAAGGTGAGACTGAGGCGAGCAAAAGCCTATCATTTTGATTTTTTTTTTTAAAGATTTACTTATGCATACAAGAATGGGAGTACAGCCTCCACCAGAGACAGAGCGGGGAACAGAACAGGCCGACTGACTGAAATACACTGCTGAGGGGAGCAGCGGGCAAGTCAAGAGAGGTCTGCTGAGCCATGTGGGTTTCTCCCTCACCGGGGATCGAACTCATATTGAAGTGGCTGAGGTAAGCTTCATAGGTTGCTTCTTAACCCCTTGCGCCACCAGGGAGACTATCACAATCATTTTGTGTGGAAGGGCGGGAAAGAGCGCGATCTCTCCGGCTGGGGGCTGCAGGTCGTGAGGTGACCGGTGGGGGCGCTGCGCAGCCGGCGGGAGGGGCGGGCCGGGCCGGGGGCGGGGCCTAGCGGTTACTGAGGGCGGGCGGTTCAAACCGAAGGAGCCAAACGCCGCGGCCCCAAGCGAACCCGGCGTGGGAGTTGCCATAGCCGGGCCTCCCAGGGGGCGAGGCGTGGCTCCTCGCCGGCTCGCCCGGCGGCTGCTGTCTGTCTCTCCTCCCGAACCGCGACCTGGGAGACCCGCCCGGCTTCGCCTAGACGTCGGTGCGGCGTCGCCTGGGTCTCCAGGTGGGCGGGAGCGGGCCCCCCAAGTGTGTGCGCGATAGCGGGCCTCCGGCCGTCCCCCAGCCGGCGTCCCACTTTTTTTTTTTTTTTCAGGTGCTGGGCCTGGAGAGGTACCCCGAAGCCATTCACTTCTCTCGCTCCGCTCCAGGTGACACTCACCCACCTGGGTCGTGGCCCTGGGTCCTGGAGGCCCAGTCGAGCCTCCCCCCCCCACCCCGAACCCCCACCCCCGGCCTGGCCTTGGGGCCGTCGGGGCTGGGGCGGGCGGGCTGTGGACGCCCAGGTGGGACCGTTAAACCCCCTTCGGCTGGGAAAGCCTCGCGGGCGTCAATGACAGCGCTGCAGTTTACGCTGCATTTTCAAAAATCCAAATTTGGCAAGTTTTCACAAGCCCAAGAGTAGCTGGGGGCAAAAAAAGACATTAAAATTACTGTTGTCTTGAAAGCTGAGGGAACTCCAAAATGTTTTAGGTCTGAAGCTTTCACGCGTTAAAAGCCCTGACACTTGTACTTTGGTCCCCTTCAAATGTTAGCAGTCATCTTGCTACTGCACGTTGCTGCTAACTGTTCCAACTCAAGTTTTCTCTGTAAGTGGTATTCCTTTGGCATGAATTTGAAACACAGCGTGAGATTCTCGGTTAGAAGCTTAGGCAACTTTGACATCTAAAAGCTCAAGATTTACTGATGCTAAGATTTCCCTCTTTAACCAGTGAAGGGAATTTGACTTTAATGTAGTTAGTATTTCATTCTCTGACTTGAGACGTGTGCGTGTTCTTTTTTAAGAGCACTGTAGAGATAAGTGTTCGCATGCCTTTGTTGGGCGACTGGTTTTCAAAAGTGAATATGGAGGCTTTTGTTTGAGTCATCAGTAAGCTGTGGAGTCACTGAATTAATAATTCAGTAAGCATTTCATGTTTTGCAGTAATCATTTTAAAATTAAGTTTTGAAGTAACAAATGTTATTCGAGACCAACATCTTGGGGTAGTAGAAAGATGAAAGTGATGACAGCCGAGAAGGCATGTTGGAGGCGATTTCAAATGTGTACATTTACCAAAAGGAATTAGAAAGGCTTTTTGTTTTTTGTTTTTGTTTTGTTTTGTTTTTTTTGGTATTTCTGTTAATAACAAGTGGTCTATAGTTTTTAGGGGAGAGAATGAATGCATTCCTCGCTTTGTTTCCAATATTTTGCCTCTCAGTTTCCCGTGTTCTAGGAGAGTGGGACACCTAATGGCGAAGTAGCAGAATAGTTTTATTTTTTTAAACTTTTTAAAGGACTCCCTTGACAAATTTTTACCAAATGACGAGTGAAAATTGTTACTTAATACAAATGTGGAGGGAGAAGGGGACGATGACATTCCTGAGTGACAGTATAATTTGAAAATGCATTCTAAATAACCTAATATTTTGAAATTAAAATTGTTTTAGAATATACAAATTACCAAACTTTGATTTTGATTATTTTGGTGAGCATGTACAGAATAGAGCAATAATTCCCACATTTGATAGGCTCCACATCTGAACCGAACTGTGAAATTCACCAAAAATATATATAGATTTAAAGAGTTGAAAAGCTCTTACTTCATCCAGGAGTAATAATTTTCTAATGACCATTTATTATGCCAGAAAGAATTTATATTGTTTTGTGGTTGGAGTAGCAGCTGTTTGTTATTTTAAAAAAGGTCATTCACTCATATATTTAACTGATGTAATCAAGCATAACTAAATTACTTTCCCTTTATAGACACAAAAATTTGTCTTCCCCAGATCTTTATAACTAGAGTAAAAATCACATATTTAGTAAGTTTGAAAGAAGGGCAGTTTTCTTAGTGGCTTTTGAATAATCGTGGCTTTTGAAGAAAAATCAGAAACCATAACTTTAGTTTCCTTTGTGTTCGTGTTTAATTCAAGTTTCTAAATAGAAGTAATATGATGATACTGTTGAAAAGTTAAGAAGTAAACTACTTTCCTGGTGTCATTCCTGGCAAATGTAATTATTGAGTAACATGTTTAAGTAATTGATATGAATTTGCAGTTGTAAGACTATTACAAAATGTGGGTATCCTACAAATAATTGCCTGTTATTTGTCAGTTCAATCCTCCAACTGGACCTTTTGTCTCAAAATATTTACAAAATGAGGCATGGATGAGTATAATTTACTAGGTTTGAAATAACCCTGTATTTACTGGATAGTGTTCATTTTGGATAGCTCAAGAAGAATGTATTAGTAATTTATCAATAAGCTAAAGAGTCTTTGCAAGGGTATAAGCCCAGGACTTTAAATCTAGTGAGTAGTCTTGGGAACTTAATTTCTGAGACAGGCCTGTGTTATAAATATAAATAACATTATCTTGAAGTTGCTTAGTCAAATTTTGTTTAAAGTAAGTGACAGCATTCATTTGGCACATTTCCTAAAAGCCTGTTCAAAAATAAGCATATAGGATTTTTGTAAGCAACTTTATTTACATCCCAGAACTTTGAAAGGAAGCACCCATTTGACTAGATATAGGCCAGTACAAATAAGCTTGAATGTTAAAACTGCAATTTTGTACCTTAGTGCTGTTAAAATCAAAAGGTAATAAAATCATCTAAAAATGATGCTGCCAGATTTTTTCCTCAAGTCTAGTTTAAGAAAATGTTTGTGTATGCTGCTTAGAACTATGCCTAGTTATCTGTGAATTTTTATAATCTGAAATTTATTTTTATGATGTCAAAGTTGTTTGAAGCAAGGTACCCATTGAATATATTGTAGAGATTTGTTTTAAGTAACTTTTTTATTGCCATAAAATTTTCCATTATTATCTATACTCATAGAAGATGATGTATTTTGTTAAGTTTCCAGGCTATTCATTTCAAAGAAAGAATAAAGTTTGTTTTTGCTTTGTAAAAACAGCTTTTGAAGATGTCAGAAAGGTGTTCAAGTCAAGCTTGCACTGGAGAAGGAAATGACTTGGACTTTTCTGCTGTCAATTTCAAGTACTCCAGAGATTTTTGTTCCACATCTTCATTTCAAGAGAATGACTACAGTGAGTTGTTGAAATCTTACAGTTTTGATAATACAAATACAGAAATTTTGGGAAAGAAGGAAAGAGACCCAACATTAATTTATGAGCATTCTGAAACTTCCAGTCTGGACTTAACACATCCTTTAGAGTCATCCACTCAAAAACACAGATTTGTCTTCCTGAGGAAGGAAAGAGGTAAATCCCCAGAACTTTGTGAAACTCCTAAAGTCAGTAGGAAAAAATGTTTATTGCGCAGAAGATTGGACATATCTTTCCCTCTTCTAACTGGGGACTTTGAATCACGAAATAGTTCTCCAGCAAGTAGTGTGAGTCATGTACTCCACTTAGAAAAAATTACTCCAAGCCATACTTCAGGTTCTCCAAGGCAAAGTAATTTTAGTCCTTTAGTTGCTGGCACTTTGAAAACAGAAGCAGCAACTTCCAGCAGTCGAAAATTGAGACTTAATTTTTCTCAGCAGAAGACTTCCACAGTTGATGATCCCAAAGATGACTGTAGCCTTTTTGAAGTTGAATGTATTTCTCCTATTCAGGGCAATAGTTTTAAAGACTCTATCACACATGAATTTAGTGATAGCAGTCTGTGTGTTAACAATGAGAATGCATATCCTGAACTCCTGGACTCCTCTGTTAGTGAAACTACTTGTGGAACAGATGAGGACATATTTGTGACTCCAATAAATAATCTTGTAGCAAACATTAAATTTAATGCTAGTGAAGGTTTGTCTTCTTCAAGTGAAGTGAGAACTGGTATTTCAACACCTGAAGACAGTGGTTTTAACTCACTTTTCTTGGATAAATCAGATTTCCTCTCTGACCATGAGGGTTCTTTTCAAGAACTATTTCAGAAACAGAAGGGCACTCTCAAAGTGGGGAACACCATAAAAAAGTCAAGGCGTCTTAGAAGGTGGAGAAGATTGTCCACTCTTCGGGAGCAAGGCTCACAATCCGAGACAGAGGAGGAAAAGCAGGCCATCCACTCTGACCTTGAAGCAACACCAGCAGCTTCTTCAGACATCTCAGAGAGTCAACTGAGCAGTGATAAGAGTGGGGATTTGATTTTAAGCTTTAAGAATTTATCAAAAACTCCAGCCTTGCAATTAGTGCATGAGCTCTTTATGAAAAGCAAAAGGAAAAGATTACAGCAAAATGGTGCACATGAATTCCTAGAAGAAAGGGATGGGGGGGAAATAGCCATATTGCAGTGTGTACTTGCAGGACTGATTGGCAAGAAAATGGGTATAGAAAAATTGGACATCTTAACAGAATTAAAATATAGAAACTTAAAGCATGTTCTTGCTATGGTTTTAGATTCCTTGACTGCAGAAAGCTTATGCAGGTAAGAAATAATTTTTTAACTGAAATAAAAGCACCTTTTGTCACTTTTTTTTAAGTTGTAAAGCTTTTCTATGAGTTGAATAGTCATCCTTTTTTTGTTATATTACCTATATCTTTGATTATCTTAGACTTTATCAAAAGTGGCTTTCTGAGCTTCCAAATAGGGACTACTAGTACAGTACCTTCTATTTAAAAACCTGTTGTAGAAGCAACAATATAGTCATCTTTTAGATAAAGTTCATGTCACCATTTGGGAAGAGAGTTTCTAAAAGTTGAACTTAAAAAATTTTCAAGACAGAAGGTCATGTTCCATGGAAATTTTTTTTATGATTTAATGATGTAATAAATAGTTTATATCGTGCTGTCAGACTTCAAATTTTATTAATTTACTACCTGACCAGAAATAATGTAAATCATTACGGTGCTAAGAAATGACAACACAAAGGATACCATTTCGTTATTTAAATTCTAGAATCCAAGAACAATTGTTAGCTTTCATTTTATAGTTTGTCCTTCCAGAGATCAAAAGGCTGTAGCTTGTTTTATTTTCATTGATAACACAACAGTGGAATTAATTACTTTGGGATATTTCAAGGAATTAAAAACTGAAGAATTTATGGTCATAGAAATTTCAGTATATTGAGAATTGCTACATAATTAAAGAGAAGTTAAGACATTGAGATTGAGGTGGGAACTGGGGTTACAAAGACTAAATTGAAACTGTTCATTTTGGCAATTTGGGGTAGTTTCAGAACTATCAGAAGATAAGACTCCTGGGGATGCCATGAGCAGGATGGAGGGAGACCCCATGGAACAGGATTTTTGCAAGGGGATATTAGGAGAGGAATTGCCAGAGAGTTAGAGAACTTCTTCTTTGTTGTTGTTTTTGATAAATATGTGTCAAGAGTTTGACTCAAAAGTCCTTGCTGTTTGTATGGCCACTACTTCAGCTAAAGTCTTTTTTCACCTCTCCCCCAAATTAATTGCACAGAATTCTAGAATTTCATAACTGAAAGCTTTCTGAGATATCTAATCCCTTCATGTATTTTGCAGATGAGGAAACTGAGCTACAGAGTTAGTAAATGACCTGCCAAAAGTTGCTCTAGGAAATAGGAAGACATTCTAGGGACAGGTCTGCAGTTCAGATCTCTGACTATCCAATGTCTCCCCACAGACTTTTATTAAGTTTTAAGTCTTTCAGAATAGACTTAATTGGGACTATATTTGGGGTAATCCAAGTATGATAATAAAATATTAGTACAGCTACCTGTATTTGCCTTAAAAAATGTTTACATAAGATAAAATATTTGTATAAAAAATTAAGGACCTAACAGATATAGGAACTTTATTTTTATATGCTGGAGCATTTGGATATGGATCAGTTAAAACTTCGATGATACTTTTGGGTGCTCATTAGTGGCACAGTTGATATTCAATTATATTTCAGTAATTACCTTTCCTACCTACCCCTAAAGATTTATAGTATTTGTGTTGCAGAATCTATGTATAATGTCAGTAGTGCTTATTCCTGATAATGTGAGAGATTATGGTCAGTTGCAATAGCTGTGACAAGTACTACATTATATTATTCATCCCCTTTACTGGGTGACTTTATTACTCTCCATCTTCCTGATATAAGGAATATATCAGTTTTTGCATAGGCAGTGGCAAGTGAAGTGGCCATGGAAGCTGTAAGAATGGTAGTGTTGACAAGTCAATTATTACCTGGGGCCCTCATAACAAATAACTTTTTGTTTTCAACCTTTGACTTTTTTCCCCATGTATGATTTGTTAAACTTAGAGTAATTAAAAATAGCTAGATTAACAAACAACTACCTTTTCTTTAATAACTAATGTAGTCAAAATTTACTGATAAGTAGTCCCTGAAAACAAATTGTGCTTTTTCTTTAGCCGCTGCATTCTCATTAACTTTGGTGTGTAAAATAGGAGCTTTGTTGCTACCCAATTATGTTTATTATTTATCACTTAGTAGTTCCAATGAAGGATTGACTGTTCTTATGATTATCTAATTGAAATGACTGAGATTTGTTAAATACAGAAATAGGAGAAATTAATAAAAAAAAATCTCTTGCACTATAGCTGATAATCATTTACTGAATGAATATAGTGTTCCAAATTTTTATCTTAGTGTCACAATTGAAGATAAATTCTCTTAATTTCCTAGTGGATTCATTTGCTTTACATGAAATTGTTTTCCTTAACCATTTATAAGGTATTAGTCAATCATTAAATACTGGCATATATTTACTATTTTAATAGGAATCCTTTCATATAGTAAAACAACATGAAATGAGATAGATCAAGTCATATTTTAATGTAAACTTTTAGATTAACTTTATTGCCCAAGATTTTTCAAAACAAGTTTTTCTTATTAATTACCATATGCAAAAATATTAATCTTGTGGAATATGTACAACACAAGAACTGATCTTTTTGTTGTAGTGTTTGGAAAGTGAGTAGAAATTGGCGTGAAATTATTGTTCAAGATAAAAAAGCAAATAAGAAGAGGAAATTATATATGACACAGCTGAAAACAGATTCTGAGGTAATGTATACAATACTTTTCTAAGATGGACTTGCATAAATACCAAACAATTTCGTATTTCTGGCCAAGCTAATTTGGTTTTCCTGCTAATTTTAACTATTTCCATTTAATAATATTCATTCTTTATTTTTCCCAAACTCCTTTTCTACCTAGTCCATAAATAGAATAAACTAACATCAAGAACATCTTGTTGGATCTTGTTGTTTTTAAGTATTTTGTTATGTTAGAAGCATTTGAATACCAATGATATGCTGGATCTTATTCATAACAAGATATTCTTATAGCATTTTCTAGCCAGTCTTTTGAGTGGATATTGCATGCAACTCATTACAATGGTGAACATGTTAAAATTGGTCCCTGCTCTCTTGGAGCTCATACTTTGTGGGTAATAACAGACAATCAATTAATTGCAATACAGGTATGTTAGGTGAAACCCAGAGTAAGTTCCCTTGGAACATTTAAAGGAATGTGTGATATGTGGGAATCAATAGGAGGCTTCTCAGAAAAAAGCTTCTCAACTTGAGACCTGCATGGAATTAGTAGTTAGCCAGGAAAGTGTTTCAGCAGAGGCCACAGTATATGTGAAGGTCTAGAGGTGAGAGAATATCTCAGGTTAACACTGGTAAAACTTTTTAAACTTGTACTTTCTTGAAAATTTGAGATCTAGCTTTGAAATTACAAGAAAAGTCCTACAGAAGCTGATTATTCTTCCCAGCGACACTGCTTTGTTTAACATCTGATGACACTGGCACCCGTATTTGATTGTATATTCAACTTTTAGACCTTCCTTAGGTGCCATTACCAACCCTTATTCTTCCCTTATTCTTGTCTAGTAGAAATTATTTTATAACATTATAAGTAAATTGCTCACTTGACTAAATGTAGTAATTGAGATGAAGCCTGGCATAAACAAATATGAGTACCCAGATGAAAAGATTGATGGGTTTCTCATTAAAATGAAATATTAAGGACTGCTGTCAATGAAATGTTGACTTTCTAGTTTACTTAGAAAAAAAGTTTTACTTTTTTACAAAACTTCACAATTCCCAGTCACTACTTACTGCTGCAGCTGCTGATTCTGGGAGCTTATAATAGCAAAGATTCAATTGCCTTCTTATCTTTTAAGAATGTTACCCTACATGCAAAAGACAAACTTAAAAACCATTGTTCTTAGCAAGCACCAATTAATTAAACTTTCTAGCTTTATGTACTTTACTACATATATCCTGTAAGGCAGAAATATGGCTGTGCTAGCAATCTTTCAGGTAATTCCAGATAAAATAATCTGTGCCCATTTCCTAAGCACCGCTTTCCAAAAACCTTGTTTCTTAAGGAACGTACTTTAACTTTTTTCTTATTTTGACATGCTTTTAAAGTTTTTTCAAAGCAACGAAAGCATATGATTTAAAAAATTTAATTGGACTATGAGGATTATAATAAAATAAACATTCTCCTGCTCTACCTCTTCCTACTCTTGATTCTTGCCATCAGACTATCACTTTCAGCTCTGCCGTGGTCTCTTCTAGTCTTTACTCCATATTTCTAAATACCATGAATTTATTATTTCGTGTTTTTCTACAGAACGGCTAGGTTAGTTCTCTAACCTCTTACCACTGCGACCACTACCAATCTACCCATTTCCCTCTGAATGCCTTTAAACTATATATCATCATTTGGGAGTGAATCAGAAGAAATAGGTGCTGACATATTCAGAGTGTATTGATATTATTAGTTTGATAACTTTATTATTTTGACTTTTTGATAGCTGTAATGCAGTACACTATGATTATACCTTGTTTAATATAAGGTATAATCCCCTCCCCACCCCTCATAGGTAATAATTGCCCAGCTTTTTTCTTTTATTTATTTGTTTATTATTTATGTATTTATTTATTTATTTTTGGCTTAGTGTTCCTCTATATAGATCCCTGATTCATCTCCTATTGTCCACCAGAATTGAAAACCTCCCCTGTGTAAGTCCAAACAAATCAGGTATTCTATCTGCTCCTTTTTTTCCCTCAGAGACATCCTTCCCGGTACCCTTTGCCCTCCTATTCCAATGTGAATTGATCTCTACCCAAACTATTCTAATGTATCATCAAGCAAACAGAAAAATTATAAAACAAACTTGTTTGATAGTTTCTTCACACGTGTATAGGCTTACAATGAAAGCTCTATGTGTGTAAAACTTAGATGGTACAGACCAACTATGTATAGTAGGATTTCAATTTTTTCTGTTTTTCTTTGCAGCAGTGAGATGAACATTTAACTGCAATACCACAACCTTTACATTGAATTTTGTTAATATACTGTATTCTTCACTGTTCACCATAGAAATGAACAACCATGAAATGACCCCAATCTCACCTTGAAATATTTTCTAGTGATGATGACTGTGTTGTGAAAGATATTCACACTTGTGGACATGTACCTTTGTTGAATCTTTGCCTTGTATTATTCAGAGAGTAGCTTTAGGAATACAGGAATTAGACTGCTTTATTCACTTGGCACTTTCAGGTATTCTATTAGTATCTGTTAAATGATGAATGTTTCTTCTGTCGCTGGAATTTGCTTCAACAAAATCTTTTTTGGTGCATGAACAATCATTGTGTTTACCAACTGCATCCAAATCCAGTGGGTATTTTCTCTCATTGTGCTTTTGAGTCATGAGCTTGTGGTCTAGGATGCAAATCATTTATAGAAATGTAATATAAAAAGAGTCCTTGAGTAATTTCAACTTTATTCATTCTATTTCTGAAAATCAGTATTCATCCATTACACTTTTGCATGTTCTTAAAATGTTAATGACATAATTTTTCATGACCAATTTGCCTATTTCATTTCCTGTACTTGCCCTATTATAATTTCTCATGTTTTAATTCTCCCCATTATTAGGGACCAGTTGTGGCAAAGGGGGACTACCTAGGGAGAGGAAACATAATTACAGTTGTACACATAAGGAAATTCACCCACAGTATATTTCATTTTGATGAGTGATAAGAATACCAATTTGTAAAAAAAAAAACAAAAACAGACAACTTACTGTTTTTCCCTACTACTAAACTTAACAAAATAGAGGACTATATGGATTATTCATACTTCTTGGCTAGATATTTAAATAGTGTAGAAATCCAGTTCAGATGAGAGATTTTTTTCCCTCCTTTTAAAATGTCAAGTTGTTTAAAGCTTAGGTGTCAAAATAATCCAAGTATTTCCAAGTATGGCAAGTATTTGTTGTTTGCAAAAACCAGCCAAATTAATTGTGTTTTATGGCCTGCTCAGGCCTATTCTTCTTCTGACATGTGGCTAAGGTAGAAACCTTCAGAGAATTCTATGGTATCGTATAACACTTAAAAAAAAAAAACACCTCTTCATAGACCTTCAATTAAAATGTGTTGGCTGCTCCAGGCTATTCCAATCCCAGTCTGTTACCTATGCTTTTAAAGTAGGTTTTAGTGGAACATAGACCTGCTTTTTCATTCACATGTTCTCTACAGCTGCTTTTGCTAAAATGACATTTGAATAGCTCTAACTATCTGGCCCACAAAGTATAAAATAGTTATTGTTTGACTCTTTTCAGGAACTGTTTACTGACCCATTCTATATAAGGAAAAATAACTAATCATACAAACTTTTTTTAAAAGCTGGCATGTGTTTTTTTAATTTTTTTATATTTGATTTTTAAATGTGAGATGAGGAAAACATTTCTAACACAGAATGTTTTAGGAAAAAAATTCTAGGAGTGTACACACATTTCCACACATTTAAATACCTGAGCATCAGAAAACTGTCCTGGAACAATATGTACTAGTGACCTTATCTTTCATCACAGGGAACTATATTAAATGTTGCGGATGCTGCTACTCGGCTCCATCTTTTAAATCGATCAGCTTTAAGATCTGTGCAAGCTCAGGCTAGGACTCCGGGTTCTCAGAAAGAACAAGTTTCAACATTTTCTCCTTGGGGGGAAGTCTTGACACCTATAGCAAGCTCTTCTGTGACCCTCTTAAATAGTAAACAGGAAGAATATGTTAAGGTGAGTATTTATCATAAGTTATTAGAAGTAAATATTTGCAGAGTTTGAAATAAAGTGATTCTCTATATGAAACTGCAAGATATGTGTATGCTTTCACTGCAGGTTGCCAAAACACTTTTTATTGATGAAGCATTAAAACCTTGCCCACGGTGCCAATCCCCTGCTAAATACCAGCCATATAAGAAAAGGGGACTGTGTAGCCGGACAGCCTGTGGTTTTGACTTTTGTGTGTTATGTTTGTGTGCTTACCATGGGTCTGAAGAATGTAGTAGAGGAGCAGCAAAGCCAAGAAATAGAAAAGATGCTCTTCCAGGAAGTGCCCAGAGTAAGCAGAATTTAAAACGCCTCTAAAGAGACTTTAAATATAAAAGAAGCATTCCCCTCCAATATTTACTCTGTCTAACTTAAAATTATGAATATTGTGAGAGCCTGCAAATATTCCCATTAATGACAGATGATGATTATTTCCTACTTTGTGCATATGATAATTCATGTCATTGTATGTTTTCTTTAAAGTGAGTTTTGAAAAGATTTTACTGTCATTTTTACCCTTTTTAATAACCTTGTATTTTTAAATAAAGAATTTTTGTTGTTATATATATGTATTTAACTGTTTTATGTAACATTTTAAAATTGTCCACTTTATCACTATGTTGAAATGTTTTTCAGTCTCTTTTTAATAACAGTTTTCCAAATAATATTTAAAACTTTGAAACTGAGACAGATGGTCTTATAGATTTGGAAAAGAACATTTGACTGAAATGAAATATAAATAAAATTCTTTCAAAATTTACTCTCCTATTTAACACTTTCTCTTAATTTATAAGTGTAATATTTGGACAGACTTATGGTTAAATAGAACTTACCTAATTTTGATAATTAAGAAGACATAAAAGTAAGTTATTAAATGTCTGTGGTTATTCACAATGGAAGTCTAAGTCAGTTAATAAACCCCCCTTTTAAATTACACATTTCATATAAGTACTTTTAAATTTCCAGGGCTACAATTGCTGGTTTCATTTGTTTAATATTTCCTGGGCACCAACACTGTGACAAATTTGGGATGGTTGGAAAGATGTGTTTTTGTAATAAGAAAAATAAATTGTTTATAATGTCTCTCTTTCAAATAATGACTTGCAGTTGCATGTTCCATTTGTAAAATAGCAGCAAGAAAGGTGGAATTTCTGTTGTTGAACAGGTTAGCAAAACCAGGGGGAAATTTGAAGATAATTCTATATTTTCTCTGCTTATGTTTAGGTAACTCAAATGTGTATATGTCTTTCACTCTGGTGTTGAAGAACTAGATTTTACCATGCTTAGTTTTAGAAATCAACAATATATATGTGTTCTTCTCTACTGCAGGTACTGTTAACAATGGAAGTTCAAATTTTTTATATTTCTGGTTTTAATTAGGATTTGAATATTATGAACTAATGGTATGAATGACATAGTATAAGGACTTAATTCCACATATTTTAGTGATTTTATCATAAAGCTTTCTGAAAAAAGATCAGAGTAGAAATTCACAAAGTAAGTTTCTCATTGGTAAGTTTTATATGTATAATGAGGCCAAGAAGTAGGTAAGTTTACTAGAAGTAAATCAAATGGAATTCATGAAGAACTTTATTAAATGAAGACTCCAGCTATCCAGAAAATAGTCAATATTATTCTAATTATTATAAATTATTATATATTCTTATAATATATTGGAACAGCTACCCTAGTTGTATGCTCTCATAGCATCCTATACTTCCTTAGTTTGGGCCACTTAGTTCATATTATTGAAATTGCTTGTTTACTTTTATTTCCCCATAAGACCATAAGCTCTTTGAAGACCTGAACTGTATCATATTTGATTTAAACACAATTGTATCTCTCGCACCTAGCCTAGTGGCAGGTAAGTAGAAGGTACTCAATAAGTACGTATTGAATGAATAGATTTGGGAGGGGGATACTAGTAATTTTTTAGATACTAAATTATTTTTAATATTATTTAATATAAACATTATTTTATAACACTGTATATGATTTAAGGATATAAATTTCCATCTCTTCAGATGTCTGTTACACTACACCTAAACCACCACAATACCAATGATCCTCCATCATAGTCCATTGGGTCTCTTCCATCTTTGTTCTCTATCCTCACCTCCCCTTCTGGTGGCCTCAATTCTGCAGTCAGATTTCTTGGATTTGTTTTGGTGTAGTTAAGTCTGTTCCTTTGCTTTCTTTATATTTCACATATGTAAAATCATCTAATCTTTGTCTCCTTCCTTCTGACTTAATGCATATAGCACAGTCCCTTCTATTTCCATTCATGTTATCCATGTTGTCACTAATAGCACATTTTTATCTTTTTAAAAAATAGCTGAGTAATATTCCATTGTACATACATACCACATCGTTATCCATTTATCTGTTGTTGGACAATTGTTTTTTCCCATAAGTCGGCTATTGTAAGTAGTGTTGCAATGAACACATATCTGTTTGAATTCGTGTGTTTGCATTCTTTGAGGAGTGGAGTTGCTGGATTGTATAGTAGGTCTGTTTTTACTATTTTAAGAAACCTATTTTGTTTTCCATAGAAGCTAGACCAGTCTACACTCCTACCAATTCTACTAGTAATTTTTATCCAGGTAAGCTATTACAATTCTAACTTAATAATTTGCTAATCTCTTAATGTTTAATTTCATTAATTAATGCTTTATTCCATACAAAAAAAGTGGGATCTAAAGATTTCTTAAATAGCTTTTAAAGATGTAATTGGTGAATTTGGTGTACTCGTCCTTTTAACTAGCTTATAACTAGGTAGAGTGAAATAGAAGAAGCTCCTGAACCACTTACTAGCTGTGTCCTTATGCAACCACTTATTTATTCTGAGCTTATTTCCTTTATCTAGAGTAAAGGAAACTGAGACGATGTAGTGTAAAATTACTCTTAAAACCTTTAGTGTTATTATTGATGAAATTCATATGGAATCACCAAAAACCCCGAATAGCCAAAGCTCTACTGAAAAAAAAAGAAGGAAATGGAGGCATCACACTCCCAGACTTCAAACTATACTACAAAGCCATAATCATCAAAACTGCATGGTATTGGAACAAGAACAGACATACAGACCAATGGAATCGAATAGAAAATCCAGAAATAAACCCACAGATTTATGGTCAACTAATCTTTGACAAAGGAGCAAAGAATATGCATTGGAGCAAAGAAAGTTTGTTCAATAAATGGTGCTGGGAAAACTGGGTCGCTACATGCAAAAGAATGAAGCTTGACCACTACCTCACACCATACACAAAAATCAACTCAAAATGGATTAAAGAACTAGACATAAGACCTGAAACCATAAAATACATAGAAGGAAATATAGGCGAAACACTACGGGATTTGCACATCAAAGACATCTTTACAGACACATCACCCAAAGCAGTGATAGTGAAGAGAAAGATAAACAGCTGGGACTACATCAAATTAAAGAGCTTCTGCACAGCAAAAGAGACAATAACAAAAACAAAGAGAAACCCCACCAACTGGGAGAACATTTTTGCACCCAACACTAATGATAAAGGACTGATCACAAAAATCTGCAAAGAGCTGATGAGACTCAGCAACAACAAAGAAAATAATCCAGTCAAAAAATGGGCAGAAGAGCTAAAAAGAAACTTCTCTGAAGAGGAAATGCAAATGGCCAACAGACATATGAAAAAATGTTCAACATCACTTGTAATCAGGGAAATGCAAATCAAAACTACCATGAGATACCATCTCACACCAGTGAGAATGGCACATATTAAAAAAACAAGCAACAACAAATGTTGGCGAGGATGTGGAGAAAAAGGAACTCTTGTGCACTGTTGGTGGGAGTGCAAACTGGTCCAACCACTATGGAGAGCTGTGTGGAGATTTCTGGACCTACTAAACATAGAGCTTCCATATGATCCAGCAATTCCACTCCTAGGTATTTACCCAAAGGACACAGAAACATCAATTCCAAAGAGCACCTGCACTCCTATGTTTATAGCAGCACTGTTTACAATAGCTAAGCTTTGGAAACAACCCAAATGCCCAAAAATAGATGACTGGATCAAGAAGATGTGGTACATATATACCATGGAATATTACTCAGCATTCAAAAAAGATAAACACATGCAATTTGCAGCAACATGGATGGCACTGGAAGGGATCATGCTCAGCGAAATAAGCCAAAAAGAAAAAGAAAAATACCGGATGGTCTCACTCATAGCAGGAATCTAGAAAACTTAAATAAGGGACCAGGAAAATGAATATAAGAAAGTGAAAATCAAAATCAACAAAAAACTATGAACCAGAGACACTTTTTGGGGGGTGGGGGGCGGGAGGGGAGGGATTGGGTTCAGAATGGGGCGTTTGCAATTGTATGGGGGAATATAAAAATAAAATTTAATATTTAAAAAAAAAAAAAAATAAAAATAAAAAAAAAAAAAACCTTTAGTGTTACACTAATCTGGGGTATTACACATTTGACTGAAAATGAATGGAAAAAACAAAGTAGCTTTTGTGGGAATGAAACACATGACACTACAAAGTAAAACTCTAACTTTCTTGCAAAAAAAAATTCTAATTGAAAAGCTTCAACAAACCATGAATTATTTACTTTGTATACATATATTATTCTAAATCTTTTACATGTGCTAACTCATTGATTCCTCACAGCCACTCTGTAGAGCAGTTTCTGTCTTATTCCTTTGATATATCAGGAAACCAAAAATCATATTAAATAATCTAATATCAAAATACAGCAAGTGTGAGGAGCCAGGATTCTACGAGGGCTAATCTGCCACTGTACATGACAAAACTCTTTACAGAACACCTCTTAATAAATTCAATATGCAAATAATTACCATGTTTTAAATGGAAGATTGTTTTGATATTTAAGAAGAAAAATCTATTGGTGTACCAGGAAAAAAATCTAATTTAGAACAACTCTGCCCAAATAGAGTAGTTCCTTAGTTCATTGTTACTTAAACAACTTTATAATTTGAAGAGTTAAATGAATTGCATGAATATACCATTATCTGAGAGTTCAGTTCAAGTGAAAACCCACTGTTCCAGTCCCATGGTCTTTGTAATCTGAAGACAGAAGGCATGAAAGCAAGAATAAGTTTTACCACATTCTAGTAATTACTACATTCTTAGAGACTTTGATCATTGAATGAGAAAGTAAGAAGAAAAAGTTCACCAAATATATATATTTAATGAGTTATTTATTGATGGGCCTACTCTGTGTTTCCAAGTAAATTCCAAAATAAAAGGATGGTTATAATAGACATTTATTTCTCTATTTTGTGTTATTTCTTAATAAGGACTTAAGGAAATGAATTGAGTATGGATTTT